TGAAGGAAGGAAGGGCATTGAAGATGCAGAGGTATTATTTCAGGTGAGAGATAAGGCAATATTAGTAGAGATGAAAGAAGGTCAAGGACAGATTCCAGAGATTAAAACAAAGATTGGAGTTGAAAATAGTTGAAATTTCTAACTTGGGGCACACCAATCTATATATATAAAAGGCTAATATACAAAGTGTCCCCTCAGGAATTCGACCAGAAGACTGGGAGTTCGATCACTCCCTATGATGTGCACTGACCACCAGGGGGCGGCGTGGAACGAAGGACGGCCCCAGCCAGCAGCCGGAAGGCCTCAATCAGCCCTGATTCACAGACAGGCCTAGGGACCCTACCCAGGCACATATTTTGTGCACTGGGTCTCTAGTAATTGAGATAAAGTAATGTAGGTGGGATAGGCATTTTGGAGATAAGATTCCATTTTGGTTTTGTTGCCTTTAAGATTATTTTAAGGATATGTGGGTAGAAACATTCAGGTTACAGTTGGGGGTGAAATTCAGCTTTCGGATAACATTCAGGTTACACTTGGGGTGAAATTCAGCTTTCAGATTTATCAGTCTTTATTGCTGAAGCCAAAACCAAAAATGATCCTGATCAAGGAGCATGCAAAGGAAAGCAAAAAGAGTAGCTTAAATGTGAAAGGGCTTATAATCAAGAGAGACTGGAGTAAAAGAATATATTTTATTTATTTTATTTTTTTAAATATATTTTATTGATTTTCTTACAGAGAGGAAGGGAGAGGGATAGAGAGTTAGAAACATTGATGAGAGAAAAACATCGATCAGCTGCCTCCTGCACACCTCCTACTGGGGATGTGCCCACAATCAAGGTACATCCCCTTGACCAGAATTGAACCTGAAACCCTTCAGTCCCTAGGCCGACACTCTATCCACTGAGCCAAACCGGTCAGGGCAAGAATATATTTTAAAAGGTAAGAGATGAATAGGAATGATGGCTGCTATATGAGGTAAGATTTATAAAATATTCTTTACATGTATGTAGTAAGGGATCTTATCAATTTAATATCAGAAAAAATAGAAGGACTAAAATTTGACATAATTGATTTTCTACGTTCAATGATTTTTTTTTATAAAGGG